TCCAATTCCTCTCTTGTTTTCATTATATAATTATCACCCTCATTCCTTCAAAATGTTACTATAGCTAAGCCATTTATGGTCTATCAAAGATTCCCTTCTATGGAATGCTTCAACTGGGAGACCCATGAGACAATTCTTAATTTATATATATATTTTCCAAATTCTTAGGAGAGACCTTCTTAGAAAATGATTCTTTATTCATTTGTCTCTATCATATTCTAAGTAGGTGTGCCATCCCCATTTGAGCCCTTCACCTTCAATCACTAATAGTCTCTTATCTTCAAGAATAATCCATTCCCTTAACCAAGTTAGGCAGTTCGCTTCATAGTAGAGCATCAGGTTGGGGACTCCCAAACCATCTCTTTCACATGCATCTTGTAATGTCTTAAGTTTTATCCTAAGTTTTCTTCCTCTCCATGTAAATTTCTATAAATCTTTGTGCCAATTTTTAAAGATCTTATCAGACATTATTATTGGTAACATTTGGAATAAGAAATTGATTCTTGGCAGTATCTCCAATTTAATTGCCGAAATTTAGCCTAACATTGAAATATTTAGTCTTCTCCATTTTTCCAAATCACTCTTATTCCATAGTTGTGTATATAATTATTCTCATAAAGTTTTGTTGGTAATTATCACACCTAGATACTTGACTTTCTTTACTATTTTTATACCTGATTTATTTATTACCTTTAAACTTTCTGAATCATTTAAATTTTTCTTGATTATTGTCAATTTGTTTTTATTTAATTTCCATCCCATGGCTTCTCCAAAATCTTTCAACAGTGCCATTAAGTGCTCTATACTCATTAACAGGATTATCCCGTAAAATCACAAGATTATCCACAAAGACTCTTAATTTCTAATGATGATCCTTGATTCTAATGCCCTTTATGATATCATCCTTTTTAATGTTTATGATCAACACTTCAATTACTATGAGGAATAAAAAGGGGGGAGAGGGCAACCCTGTCTTGATCCCTTAGTTATTTCAAAACGTTTGGATTTCATGCCATTCACTATTATTTTTGTGCCTTTTGATTGTTATATATTTTCTTAACCCAATTTATAAAAATAGCCCCCATATTCATTTTTTCCACAATTTCAAATATAGTTTTCCAACTGACATTATCAAAGGCCTTCCCTAGGTCTAAAAAAAAGTAACGCTAACTTCTTTTCATTATGGTGTTCATAATATTCCAATCCATCGCATGTTTTCCCTCATTTGTCTCCCTGGGAAAAATCCCCTTTGATTTTCATCTATCCAATTTTTTAGGCATTTTTAAAGATGGTTAGCTAAGATCAGTGCAAAGATCTTGCAATCTGTGTTGAGGATTGAGATAGGCCTAAAATTTCTTGGTTCTAATATATCTTTCTCATCTTTGGGAATCAGGGCAATATCAGCCTTTCACCATATATCTGGTAACTTCTCATCTAAAATAACATTCATTGCATATTGTCAATGAATATTTAATATCTTTATTTTCTGGATTTATTTTCAACTCTTCTTCCTTACTTTGTAAGTGCTGATTTAACATGCTCATTTTTTCTCTTTTGTTTCTCATAATCTCACTATTTTGTTAGATCAGTATCTCTCTAACCAGTGCTTCAAATGCATCCCAAACCATTGGCATTTTAACTTCTTTGGGCATATTTTCTCTAAAATGTCATTTAACTGTTTCCTTCCTTTTCTATCACTTTAGGTTCTAATAGTAACTCATCCTTTACCTGCCAAATGTAATGCTGACTCTCATCTTTTAAGATAAGTAATAAAGGGTTATGATCAGATAATAATCTTTTTAACAATGATTTTGAGACCAGGAAAAGTTCTATCCCCGACAGGGACTTATGCCTGTCCCAAAAAAATAAAGTCCTCTGTGAGAGCCCTCAAATGTCATCACAAGTCTACCAGAGACATATCCTCCATCATCCTGAAAAAAAATTCTGATAACTTCCCTTGATTACTCTTGATCAGGGGTAGGCAACCTTTAAGGGCCGAGGGACTTCAGCTCCCAGAAACCTCAGCCAGGTTGGCCAATAGTCCCATGTTGGCCAATAGCTCCTGGGATTCTGGGAGCTGAAGTCCATCGGCCCTTAAAGGGGAAAGGTTGCCTACCCCTGCTCTTGTTGTTTTTCAGAGACTTCCTGTCTACATAAGGATCAATTATCCCATTATAATCTCCCAATTTTGAGATCTTATCCAAGAGGATTTTTCTTTAATAAAAAGACCCTTTATTTTGTTGGGGACCACAGATTCCTATTACCAAATTTTTAGATTGTTGAGTTTCAATTTCTACTCAGATAGCTGTTCCTCTGTGATCAAATACGTCTCTTGCATTCAAGTTCTTTTTTACATATATAACCGCCCAATTTTTTTTTTTGTCTGTCTTGGAGGCTGCAATATGTTCTTTTCCCAATCTCAAATTCCTAATTAATTTTATATCTTTCTTATATGTGTTTCCTGCAAACAATTTTTTTTCTCTTCAAGAAAATGAAATATTTTTTGTCTTTTAATTTTTACATTTAGTCCATTTACGTTCCATGAGATAATCCGTAAACCCAGTTTCATTTCTTAGGTTTAACACAGAGAAAAGAAAAGGAAAACTATTTTCTTTTACTTCCTCCCTACCGTCCCTTTTTTCTTATAACTGTCCTATTCTACAACTATCGTTAACTATCCTAACACCAAATACTCTTCTTGTGATTGTGGTCTGGTTTCTTCTTCCTCCTCACTCTGTATTATCCTCCCCTCCTCCTCCTGCCCACCTCTCTTAATTTGTTCTGGGTGTCATCTTTTAGATCTTTCCTTTCCTTTCCTTCCCCTCTATCTCTCTCCTATAGGTTTTCCAAAAATTGCTAG